GCGAGCCCCTCTCGATTTACCCACTCCACACGTAACAATCTAACGATACAACGGGCGGCCACGGCGCCGAACGGCGAACGTCGACGCACTGCTGATGCACTCCGCCTGTGCCAATGCCTGCCCTACCGTACCGGCCGCCCCACCTGATTCTAGCCGAACCCCCGAACTGCCCCGAACTGCGAACGTGCTTCGAGCTCCGACCCGACGCGACGCCTCCGACGCGGCCCGAATCGAGCCGACCGAGCGTTCGCGCGCTTCACGCTGCACCGCGCTGCGCTTCGACGAGTCTCCATATCACGTGATCAGGCTGATCATGTATACGTCGCTCTTGTCCATTTCTATCAATGTAGATTAATGGGCTTTCCACAAGGGCAGGAACACAGGATCTTGCGTAACACGTAACGCACAATGCATAAGAAAATGAACCAATTATAATCCTTCATTTCCTTCCTTTCAATGAAATAAAAGATCTTGATTGAATAATTTTTGAAAGGTCCGTGTTCCGACACTTTCGACGTACCTTTAGAGCGGGAACATAGATTTTTGCAAAAGGCGTAAGAAAATCAACCAGAGTTTTTTATTTCATGGAAAAGAAATGACGGACTCTCTTTGATTAGTTCTTTTTCTTATATATTATGCGTTATGCAAAGGTCTGTGCTCCCTGCTTGCTGGTAGTGTAGTCTTGCATAATGCATAAAGGTGAACGCACATAGAAGTAGAAGTAAGCAGCAATAAGCAGTAAGCAGTAAAGGTGCATTCACATGCAAGTGTCAAGCATCAAGCAGTGGAAGCACAACCAATCAACGAGGCGATTTTTACAGTGGCGTAAAAAATATTTTTTTACACCACTGCCCGTATCGCCCAGCTGATTGGTTGCTGCTTCCGCTGCTTGACGCTTGATGCTTTCATGTGAATGCACCTTAAGGCATTGTTTACAATATACGAAGTAAGGCCGGAATCAGACTACGCATTGAAGATTGAGATTTAAGATTGAAAAATTCAAATTTGACCAATCGAAACGAAAGGAGCTAAAATTTCTTTGTCCTTATTGGTCAAATTTCAATCTTCAATCTTCAACCTCAATTTTCAATACGTAGTCTGATTCCGGCCTAAGCTTGGTTTAAGGAGTAAGATTAAGCAATTTATCAATCACAGTCGATTGTAAAAAGAATAATCGACTGTGATTGATCAATTTCTTACTCTTATTTCTTAAACCAAGCTTACTTCGCATATTATAGACAACGCCTAATGCCTAATTCACACTGGACGCAGCAAGCGTCAAGCAGCGGAGCAGCAACCAATCAGCAAGGCGATATTGTTTACGCCACTGTAAATATCGCCTCACTGATTGGTTGCTACTTCCGCTGCTTGACGCTTGCATGTGAATACACCTTAAGACTTACGAAGTAGGCAACTAACATTGCCAGTATATCTATACATATGAAAGATGGCGGCCTTACGTCTTATGCGTCGTCTACAATACACGGAGTAAGAAGTACGAGTAAGAAATTGACCAATCACAGTCCAATGTGAGAAGAACAATTGACTGTGATTGGTCAATTTCTTACTCGTACTTCTTACTCCGTGTATTGTAGACGACGCATTACTGCTTACTTTTACTTAAGATGTGCGTTCATCTTAAGCCCATATCAGACTACCGACTCTGCAGGCCGACCCGA